CAGGCACTTAGGTTTGTGTGACTTCAAAACCAGTACTTTTGCTAGTACCCTAAAATGTCTCCCTAATTAAATAAAAAGTTATATGGAACAAAATGCACATTTGTATCAAAATATATGCAAACAAGGATTTTCCCATAATTTGATATACTATATACTTATCAAAAATAACTGTCCAACTCAGACCTTACTTACTTCTCTCTATTATAAATGTTCATCAGGCTAAACATTTTTAAAGCTATGGTTATGAGAAAATTAAATCAATCACAAGTCCACAGGTGCATCTTAGAAACAACAGATTACATTTGAGTTAGTAAACAAAACATGTATGTGCATATGTGAGTAAAAAAATGAGTACAGGAAATAATGAAGGGATTATTTTTCTGTTAAGCTTATAAATAAGAAAGTAAGTACAAAAAAAAATGGTATGGGAGTGGGTGGTCAGAATATTTTTCGGACTTATCGAAAGAGAAATGTACGAATCATTGCACATACTAGACAAGTAGCTGTGCATTTGTGTAGCAGCATACATAGCAAGAGCCCCCTGCCCTTACTCAATATTCTTGTGAATATAAGCTAAAGGAAGTACATTTTCCACACACAGGTCACAGGATCAAGTTCAAATTATATTTTGTATTTCTGGCCTAAAACTGACATTACGCAAAAGCAGTTTTATAATCTAAGTGAAAAATAATTGAAGGTCAACTTTCTGGCGTGTGTGTTTCAGGCTTTAAGAGTAGCTAACAGTGTGCTTTTTTAGGATAGAAAGAATATTCTCATGCAAACCTATGGAGTTTGACTTTCAGAATAAAGCATTATATCAGAAAACCTTTAGCCAGCCTTCTAAGTAAATAAAAAAGAATCACAGGGCTACAAGCTAATGTTGCCAATATATGCAACACTGATTTATAACAGAAAGGGGATTAATTGCTTCACTGACACTGATTCTAGTGATAGCTTCAAAGAAAAATGATGGGAACACTGTGTCCTAGAATAATTACTCTTGGTCAGTCAGCCCTAATTCATATTGAATAGAGTCACTGATGCCATTTATTAGGTTTTTATACTTGTGTGGGGCCAGGAACAGTTTCATTAAATCTATGATAAATGGCAAAGATTTAAATAAAAGATAAAAAATGTGAAGTATACACAAATTTGAAATTTACAATTAGGAATATAAGAATTGGTTTTCACTACAAAGAAATGATGAATGCATGAGGTGAATGATAAATTAACTACCCTGACCTGATTATTATACAACACACACACACATATATATATATATATATATATATATATATA